TTCTGTTTCTAAAATCTCCATTTTGGAGCGAAACGGAATTGAAGATTGTAAGTAAGTGCAGATTGCTCACAAGTTGAGGATGGCTAAGGCGTGAATGTAGGCTTAAATGTGTGGCTTGTGTGCTTCTTTTGAAAGAGAAATAAAGTGCAAAAGATAATTTAAGTGTGTGTGTGTTGATTACACACGGTTCTAAGCCAGTTGCTAGAGTATTAGAGATGTGATAAAGGTGGGTTTTTTTTTTAGAATTCCAACAGGTTAACAAAACGTAAGAACTATGGAGCTCTGGAGGAGTTTATAAGACGCCTCTATAAGCTGTTTGAGCGATTTTGGATTGCGTTAGATCGTAATGCAGTCCCTGAGCTCTCCTCTCCCCGCTGAGTTTAACCCTTGTATAGAATATTTTGGTTGTTTCAGCCGCCATCATGATCCAGGGGCACCCAACAGATCGTTTCGGTAAATCATCTGTTCGGAAGGCCTTTAATCCCCTCTGATTTTCTTAAGAGGATTGTCACCTCGAACTTTCATGATACGAGAAGTTTTCGGATTGTTAAAAATGTCGTTTTGGGTACCGAAAAAAGGTCGGCTATCATTTTCGGAAAGACGATAAGACCTAAGGTTTTCGGGAAATGGAGAAAAGAGCGCTAATAAATTCGAGAATACTCAAGTTCCCCTGGAATAACCAAATAGATAAAAGTTTTTTAGCGCAACCTAAAATTGACCTACAGAGCTTTAAAAGTACTCCAGATAGCCTAAAACAGCGTTTAAAAGCATTTGAGCGAAAACGGTCGTTGGGTGCCCCTGATGATCTACTATGCAAGGCCTGAGGACAACTGTGGGATTCTCCAACTGTTGAAAATCAAAAAATTATAATAAAATAAAAGTAAACTCACATTTTCAAGTGAACAAACTCCCCTTTTAATCTTCAAAAAACAACCTCCCATTCTCAAAAAACAAACTCCTGTTTTCATAAAAACAGCCTATCCAGAAACTGGTTTGTCCGAATTGCGTAAACATCATCGTCACAAGGGGTTCAAATTCTTAATGAGATCGCACTTCTGAAGGGGTGCATAATAACAGTGACAAGAGTCACAACAGAAAATTACTTCTAAGAATTATGCGCAATTGCTAAGCTGATTGCTCAAAACATATTGTATACCAAAAGAGGATGCTGGAGGTAATGCCCCATGCAGACTTCATTTCCAAGGTAATCCCTCACAAGTTTTCTCTAGACAGCCAGTTTACCAGGCGCGTCACGAGAATGGTTTCAAAGAGACTGAATATCAGTGCATGTAAAACTACCTGGGATGTCCGCTGTGTCAAAGGATTGGCTATATCCAGACCCTCCAGGGAATTCTGAAATCGGAAATGATCCAAAAATGTCTTAAGAGAGATTACCTAGAGAAACTATTTCGGTCATGCATCAAGCACGCGCGCTAAGGAAGAAATAAAAGCAAAAATAGGGCTTGGCACCGGGTGCGCAAACTTCACTTGCAATTTACAATTTACTCCTCTGTCTTTTTCCATGGATCACTTCCTTTACCGATTTTCTTCATGTTAACAAAAAAACTGACTGATCAAGTAATTATTCATACTGGATTTAATGACGTTACCCAAACAAGCTTTTGGCGTCTTCGACCATTCTTTACCTACACTATATGTAAAACTTAGCATGTTCTATATTAATTATAAAGAAATGGTTTCTGGAAATTCGTTAGTCGGGATTGAAATTATAGGCTGGATTGAAATTTAAGTCTGAGCTGAAAATATCTGAAAACATTGAAAACATATTAGAAATGAACGATAATTGCAAACGACACAACAATTACAAGTCAAACTTTGAAGAAGAATTAGTCAGCGTAATAAATCAACGACTTGAGCTTTGTTTTATCACAGGGAGTTTTTTTTATTGTTTAGGCTGCAAATGAATGATGTTGTTTTCGTCGACGCCATTTTGTGTGAAAAATTTTGTACCTTTCCTTTGGGATACGCAGTAATATTACAGGTTGGCAAGACACTGCAGAAGAAACAAGCTAGTAAAGATGATATTTTGGATGATCGGGCTTTTCGTGGGGGTAACAAAAGGTGATGATATTGTGGAATTTGATGTTTCTGAGACAAGGTAAGGAGCATGTACAGTCTTTCTCAACAAAGTCAAACTGAACTGACATGCAAATTTTCAGTGCCACGTAGAAATATTTCCTTTATGCATAACTTTGTTCGACACGTAACATAGTACATTAATTGTTTCTATTCTTTTTATCTTGTTCCTAAAGCATTTTCTCAGCCGCCATCGATTGTTCGACGTCCTATCAAATTTCGCACCATATAAGGTGTAGTTTCCGTTTGACGAACAATGGTCAGCGCGACTATTCCGTGTTCAAATGGCGCACTCCGCTGGACGGACTGAGATCTGACTGCCTGGCAGTCACCTACAATGGAACGAAGATACCCTACGATGGCATTTACATGAAGCGCAGTATCCCAGGCCCCGATCAGTTCTTGCTCCTGGCACCTGGACAAACCGTCTCCCCCACGTTTGATGTTTCCGAAGGATATGACATGACCAAATCTGGAAATTACTCTATAGCAGTGGACACTTTTTTAGAATACGCTGTAGGTAGTGTTGTTGGTATGAATGTAGCTGGCCAGCCGAGTATCCAGACAAATATAGCTTATTTATCTTCCCCTGTTGAGGTTTTTTACGTAATGGATAACGCCCACACTAAGATAACTTCGGGGCAAAGGGCACGTAACTTAGAAAATCGGAAACGATTTTATGAAAGAAGCTTTTATAGCTTTATGCGAGGACAAAACAACAATAACATTGTCAAAGAGGGTATTGACCAAGCACCTCTTAATGCAGTGGTGAAGCGTTGTTCTGCAGCTCAAAGAAGAATCACCAAAGAGGTTCATTTGGCCACCTACCGTTATGCAAAATCCGCCATTCTTAAGCTTGAAAATAAGGAAGACCTGGCTAAACTCTGGTTTGGAGAATCTCATGTAAGCAGCGCCATCAAAGTTTTCGAGAAAATGGTGGAAATATTACAAAAGGACACGGTTACATATGTTTATGGTGGAAAATACTGTGAGCCTGACATGTTTGCGTACACCTTTCCTGGTACGCGAAAAATATTCTTATGCAAAAAGTACCAAAAGGCTCCGAAGCTTGCCAAGTTTGACAGTAAAATGGGAATCCTTACGCACGAGTTAAGCCATGCTATATGCCATACAAATGATATAGTGTATGGTCAATCAGGTTGTAAAAAGCTTGCAAAGAAAGCTTCGCGACGTGCTGTCAAAAATGCCGATAATTACGAATATTTGGTAGAGACATTATCAGTCACAGCAAAGTCATAACATAGAATGATATAATAATTGAACAGTTAGGTTACATCTCAAGGAAAACTTACAATTAAAACTGAATAAACATTTGGTTCAGTTAAAGACGTATCTGTTACTTGACTGACAACAGTGATGAGTTGGAACGAAATAAAACTTGATCAGCTTGAAAGTGTTAAATGAACATTTAATTTCTCAGGACGATTTAGGGACTTTTCTTAGCTGTGTATCAGGGATGATAAAACGGGCGCGTTTAAAACACGAAATGGCGAAATGACGAAATGGCACTACGCGTAAAAGTCAAAATGGGATACTGGTGTCTGCAAGGGCTAACCCTTAATATTACTAAGAGCTAGTAACCGTCGATTCAGTGATATTAAGGCTAAACGGAGCGCTGTTTAAGTTAACCGTTGTGCCATTTCGTGTTTTAGACACGCCCACCGGATCAAAACGTTACGAATCACACGACTTTGATAGCACTCGTATCGTAAACATGGCGCATATAACTTTCAACGTTGCTTGAGACCACGATAGCGGGATTTTATACGATGTTTCAGAATCCTATAACAATTTTCAGGTCGCACACGTCAGTTATAAGCAAATTGGAGGTTTGATTTACACCAAATGTTTTGAGTTAGTGTTCTCGTAATCTCTTCACATGCAGAAAAGTTGCACCGTCTGAATCCCTGACTGCACAGCCGTAACTGTGTTCCATATTCACCTGAACAGAGGAGCTAGCCATCACGTGGCCTAAAATATGATTTAGCTCGTAGAAGATCAACTTCGTTCTCAGAATCTCTCTTCTTCTTGCCCCCTGGAGCTTCAGGGGACGCGAGACTCTGGGAAATAGGTTGGTTGAAGATGTTTTCAGCGGTGGATAGCTGTCATGTTGCTCATCTTAAAATTCTCTTCTAAAAAAGCTTCCCTCTGGCTGTTTCTTTTGTAAAATCGTCGATAGCCTTAAATTAGAGGAAAATTAACCACTGAAAAACACATGGCAACGAAATCCGGTAAAACAGTTAAATTGGAAAAACACAAAGAGGATACAGCAAATTTGCGCAAACACGCCTTTCAAAAAATAATGAGCTACCTCGAATCTGAAAAAAGGTCAATGGTCTATCTCTCTATTTATACCATGCCATAGAAAATACAGCCGATCAGAATAGAGGAAAGTCGTTGTATATTCGACGGTGTTACATCCAACCTTCCCATCATGCTCCGCGCGTACGTCGCATTGATTGTGGTGGTCACAGAATTTTTTATCGCGAGGCGAGTATGTATATAGCCTGCGAACGCAGACGTATTTCCGGCTGTCGCTTGTTTCCGCCGAAAAAAACGTCTGCGAACCCGAGCCAGGAAACGATTTCTGTGAAGTAAGAATTTTAAGCCAATCACAGTTTAGCTCAAGTAACCCCAGGACTACTGCGCGAGGTATTTGCTGCGAGGAGCACTCGAGTTTTCTTCTATCATGAAATCTAATTGGCCAAGGAGAAACAAAAGCCATTACGTTACAAAAATCGTTTCCTGGTTCGGGTTTGCAGACGTTATTTTCGGCGGAGACAAGCGACAGCCGGAAATACGTCTGCGTTCGCAGGCTAGTGTGTATACCAAGAAAATAAAAGTGACAAGTGGGATATTCCATGTTATTGTATAGAGACGACTGTTTTACTGGAAAATACGCCACTTGTAATTCATACGAAAACACATCCTGAACTCGGATGGCGTATTTTCCATATCCTCACTAGTGAAGATATCGATGATTTCACTGATATCAAGTTTGTCTCTTAAAATGCACTTAAATTCGTTGGTGTATGATCAAAACATCTTCGGGTCTTCCTCGAAAGGCTTCGGCAATCTCCGGTAATCTTCGGTAATCTTCGGTTATCTTAGGAAATTTTCTAAAAATGTTCGGCAACGTTCGTGTGACCTTCGGACAAATTTTGGAGAGTTTTCGGAAATCTTCGACAAATCGTCAAAAACGCCGTCATCGGTATGTCTATATAGTAAAAAGAACATTACACGTTAGCTCGAAGATATGAATTTCATGTTCTTGTGACAAGAACAATAACTCACTCGTTGGCTGCGCTCACTCGTGAGATGCATGTATTTTTCTTGCTACTCGAACTGCATAAAATTCATATCTTCTCGCCACCGTGTAATATCCTCTATGTTTACCACGAGAGAGCATTGTATAACTAGCATTTTACACGACTAAGTAAGTTCAGAGATCCTTGACATATTATTATGGCAGTTCCACGTTATTCTGAGGAAGTCGGCAGTTGCGATCTCCTGGAAACAAGTTCACTGATGATGAGCCTGGTGCTGTGAGGTGCCGCTCTAACTTGACTACACTCATTTGCGTCTGGTTAAGGAACTTTTTATCCCTGACATTGTTACTCATAACCGCAAAAGATTCCGCCCTTCTCACCTTTCCAAATTCCTGGCTGGTTTCTTTCCACACACAGCAGCCCGCTGTCCATACCGCCCGAGGAACAACAAGTGTCAGTTCGTCCAGCAACATCGTCGCATAAGATAGCTCTTTGCTGGAATCCTGCACCGATTTCCTGCCGAGATCACTTTTGAGGCTAAATTCTGAAGTTCCTGTCAGCAGATAGAGCGTTCCTTGACGAGTGCGGTTTCCACACACGTTCTGTGCGTAGCTTCGTATTTTCGCCTCAAATATCTGCCAGGGTCCGCTGTTAGATGCTACATACTGTGGTACGACATTGGTAAGAGTGTATGTAGCTTTCATAAAACGTTTATCAAAAGAATTTATTGCTAGAGGATCCATGTGCCCTCTGCTCAGCGGCTCTTGTTTAATGGCTTTTCTGTATGCAGCATCCAAGCCAGGGACACCTGTTGACATACATAAGCTTAAGGTTAACGACGTCGAAAGGGAATAGCTATTTTGCAATTTTAAAGAGAGGATTTACTCCATGATGCTAAAACTTTAAGTAGCTCAGCTGTTTGTTCATCTCCTGCGTAAATTCATATGTCAGCTGTTTCTTCAAGTAATTTGACATTTGTCACTTTTCGATAGAATTTTTCTATTTGCTCATAATGTTCCCTTTCAATTTTCTTGTGCAGCATTGCAGAATGAGCTCTTTTTTGCATGCTATTTATCATTTATGGATTTTCGTTATTTTCTGCATGGCCATGTTCCCACGAAAATAATTCAATCCCAGAAAGCGCTCCAAGATGGCGGATTTAGGTTGCGTTTCTTTACGAAAATTAAACTCCGGATTCTATAACCCAATAACGAAATTTCGCGTTTATTTACTGAAATACTTCATGATTTGTGAATCCGAAGAATTCAAACTACAACTGGATCTAAATCATTATTTTCGGAATCATGTGTTCGTTTCTTCGCCGAAGTAAATCGTTTGCTCAGCAGTCATCGCTGTGAAAATCGAAAACCGCTATTGTGTGAACACTGTCAATACGGTAAGTCTCCAGAATTCCAAGTGTCTTTTTGGGACATTTTTCGAATGAAAAATGATTGATTATATATAGTGTAATTATGCAACGTATTTTGAAACACTGGTCACCGGGTGCTTACTAGCTGAAGCCCTTCTGAAATCGTCAGAAGTGGTGCTTGCATAATTCATTTTTCCATACTACTTCGCTTGATGCGCTCATTCCACCTTGTATCGCCACATAAAGCCTGGTTTTCGCTACGGCACCAGCATAAGTACCAGTATAAGCACAAACTCACCGTAGTGAGGACGCGCACAACACTAGCATAAGCACAAGCACAAACAGAACAAATGTTTTTGTTCTTCTTGTGGTTATGCTAGTGTCAAGTGAGAAGGCGCTACTGTGAGCATAGCAGAACCGTTAGTCCACCATCTTGTTTTACTGTTTCGAGGAGGTATGGAACCGAAAATAAGGCAATTATCCATTTTGCGCTTGTCTGCGTGCTTATGTTTATGTCGTGAACGTTCTCACCACCGTTAAGCTTCTTGTGCTTGTGTTTTTGTTTCAGAATCGTCTCTCCACGTCACGCATCGAGCGCGCACTAAGCAATAAAATAAACAATGACAAGGCAGATGGCCCTTGCTATAGTTTGCCTGGATTTAACTAACTTGGAGGTTCGGTGACCACTTTTTCTTTTGATGGATCATTTTCTCTATTGATTTTCTACGTTTACCGGAAAAAAGAAAAACAATCTATCGATCAGAAGTTTGAATTTCTTTTCAAAATCGAGTTCCGTTCTTTTAATTTTAGCTCTTCGTTTATCTGTGCGGCGGTTTCAAATGCCTCTTGAAGGGTTACGTTTTGTGAAAACGTTGGCAACATTTGGAATTATTAACTCAGCGGATTCACTGATACAAAATATTATTAGGATACTGATTTATCTCCGTTGATTCATCTTTGATATTTTAAGCTACAAACTCTGGAGACCATGCTAATTTACGCGCGCCAGTTTTTCAAAATCAGACTAGATTTCCACACGCTTTATCTCTGAAACGAAGTCCGTGACCCCCAAGTTTTCCATTTTTGAAACATGCAAGTAATTTTATTATCTGTCCGCAGTAGACGTTTGAAGAAAATCTATCGAGTTGAGCATTTTCGCACGGACGTCCTTAAAAAAATGCTGGTTCATCTTTTAATCTACACGTTATTATCAAATCTGCAGCTCGATCAGCGTAGCTCACCTGGAGGATTTCTCCACCTTTTTTTCACATCTTTTCTGGAGTATGTTCCGATCAGCTGGGCCTGTCGCGGAGTCACCTTGTATGCTGAATAGAATGGGATATTCCTCTCCGGATCAAACAGTGACACAAAGTAAGGATCAGTACCATTTGTGTCCGTAGGAAGTGTCTGCTGTATTTCTTTGCCTCGACTGATGCCGGGGAGGCCCTCAGGGCGTCTGTTCCCTGCGAAAAATGGCGGCGGCTGATGTGGCAACAGCGTCTTGGATCCCCAGCGGAAGCCATTCTGTCTGTTGGTTTCTGAGTGTTAGGAGCAGATCAGAAAAAAAATTAGACGAATGTCAATGACAAAATAAGTTTCCACGCGATTTTAGTAAAGGAAAAGATCTCTTTATTTTCAAACTCACACAAAAAGACAAGCTCTTTTTTTGTAAGAATTCGGGTGAACGTTTGTAGGTTTTTTGTTTTGCATGGTTGTTGCTTGTTTGTGTTTGCCATTTGAGTCTGAAGCGTGCTTAAGATGTTCCTAAGTTGTCATTTCCAGTCGTTTAAGTTTTAAGTAGTTTTGTAATGTCTCCCAATTTGGAATATGCTTTTGAAAACATAGGAAGAACTGACTAGTTTCCATGCCTTTCGTTTAGAGCTATTTTCTGGCTTCGATGTCATAATCAGCCGACGCTCTGGACCCAATACTTTAAAAAAAAAAAAANTTTCTAGAAATAAGGCGGACGACAAAAGAAAACAAAGGCAAAGAATATGAGCCAGGAACATTACAAACTTACCGCAATGGTTTACGGAGGTACTTTCTGGAGCGTCCATGTCCACCGGCAACTTCGACCTCGAAAAATCTTCAGCCACTGAGTTCGAAGAAGTTTCAACGATGCTATCCATGAAAAAAAAAAAAAAAAAAAAGAAGCAAAAAGGAACAAAACAAAGCAAAGGGATCAAAAACCATTGGCGTCATGGCCCAAGAAAACTAATGCAGGATGAAAACAATTCTCTACAAAAAAGAATTGACAATGAAAATTTGTCCCTGTGCTTGGGGTTTACTGGTGCTCGCACCCAAGATGAAATGTTTATCCATCGCACAACAGACTATTCCTACGTTGCCAGGTTTCTTAAACAGAGAGAGTATTAACATTCGTATTTCAACAAGAAGCACTTACCTGATCTTGAAGCGTAACTCGAGGGTGCTACGATAGCCACTAAGACTGCCAAACCAATGAAAGACCAAACTTTTCCCATCAACATTGTGCCAGGTTTGGAATCTGGTTTTAAAATGCTACAAGAACCCAAGTAAACCTCAATTAATATACGTAAACCTAACGCAATGTGCGTACGCGTTTCTCATCGCTCGGAATAGAGCATGATTCTATATAACCCTGTAATCGTTGACAGCCGCTGGTATGCTTCCAAAGAACACAGATATTTTGCCCAGCGATCGCCAGCTTAAAATAAGTAACTTCCATCGATCGAGCGATTTTGGCGATAGGACTTGGCTGTAACTGATACAAAACTTTCGAAACTCGAGACACAGGAAGACATTCGCAATCTTGCTATTTTAAGCATAACTCAGGTGACTATTAGAAAACTCGCAATATGATTGGCTGCGCTTGATGGTGCGTCGATCGACAGAAATCCTTCGGAACGCGAGCTCGGTTTTTCATCCATTGTTAACGAAAGACGTTATGCAAAGGCCTCAAATTCATTGGTCTTTTCGGTTTCAATCACTTTGAAATTCGAGTCTAAGTTTCGCCCCTTACCAACTAGCAGCCGATAATGAAGTAATCAACACGGCGTTGGTAGTTTTCATTCTAAAATTGAGGCCTTCCCCCCTTCAATTAAGGACACTGATAGCACATTAAACTGTTCATTTCCCACTACGGATCTACGTTTTATCAGACGCAACTTAACGATGACATCAATAATGACTTCACTGAAATCAATGAATAATCAATAGGTAATTGTTAGGTAACTGGTTTATTAGTCATTGACTATTGCCAATGATCGACGAGAAATCGATATATAATCGATAATCCACAAAGTTTTCCGTCATCGTGCTTGGATTGATTAGCCACTGATGACCCTGATTAGTCAATGATATAATATCGTGGCTACAGAAACTCTGCCAAATCACAATTAAAGAAATAGAAGCAGCTTCCTCAAGGTATAACGCCGGGATAACGACGTCCATTTGTGTAATCAATGGGTTATCGATGACTAATCAATAGCATCGATAAGTAATCGATGAGTAATCGATGTCGTCGATGAGTAATCGATAGGCTACAAAATTTTGTAATCGATTACTTATTGATCATTGCCAATAAGAAGTGACTAATCAGTTGATTACTCATTCTGTTCAGTACCCAACGATTACTCATATGATGTCATTGATCACTGACTAGTTACGTCTGGGTTTCAAAATGAAAATAAACTCAAACATAAGTATTTTTAATAGACTATGTCTTATTAGTTTCTTCTATTCTTCATGAATTTAAACTCTTATTTCCATATATTTTAAGTACGGTTGTGAAAGATATGAAAGTGAAATGCCCTCAATTTTGAACCACGTCACTGCTGAACACTCAAGAATTCGTCACGCAATTTTTCCTCGGTAACAAACGTATGTTTCCTGAATGTCACTATAATCTCGACAATACTGATCATTACTGTAGATTTTACAGGCACGTCAACAAATTGGCCGGTTGAGATTAAAAGAAGTAAGTGCGAATTGCTTCACGGGCATTTCAGCTTAAAGATCACGCGAACACAACTCAAGCAACAAAATCTTCTGTCAAAGGAAATCGGCGTTGTACTGTTTTAGTATTTCCGCGTAGCTAATATTTCCGCGTTGCACTGTTTTAGTGTTTCCGCGTAGGCCAGTCATACGTTTTACTTACCAGAAAGGACAGTCACTCAGATCCCAATACAGTCAGCTGCCAAAGAGAAGTCGTTCAATGCGAAGTGAAAGTACTCGCACTGTAACAGTGTAAGAATGACCAAATGTCACTGAAACCTGATTCGACTTTTCCGTCCTTGCCATGCTGTCAGGTCAGACTTCATCACCTGTTTGATCACTTAGTAACGGCTCTGTCAATTCCATGCCCGCCCATCCCCCCGGTGCATTTCAAATGTTCTAGGTCCCCACCATGGGCTCCTCGGGGTGGGGCATTTGACAATTTGGTCACATACAATCAACTATAAATCGGTACCTTTTAAAAACGAAAGCCTGCTGTCTTAAAAATCTTAAGGATTAGCCCTAGGCTGTAAATTCTTTTTGCCACCTTCTACCTTCTGAAAAACAAAAGTCAAACGCCCGTCAAATACTCGAGGAGCAAGATTAGAATTGACAGAGCCATAAATTTGCGATTTTATGTTCTAAACTTGGGGAAGGAACGCGTGACGAGCCCTAAGAGCGTTTGCGTGGGAGGCTAATTCAGGATTCCCATCAGAAAAATTACTTAACATACTATGGGAAAACGAGTTTGCTTCTTTGGCATAGCTAAAACGCGTCCTATGTGCGAAGCCTTGCCGCTCTCGGCGCTTGCTTCTCGCGCTCTACCCCAGGGCTCTACCCCAACTAAACCGCCTGCTACGCAGGCTATATGTGAGGAACAATCCATCTTTAAAAACGTATCACAATTTTCACGATATTGAAAAAAAGAAGAAGTGCCGAAAAAGGTTTGAAAACCGTTCTGTTCCATTTCTAATCTTTTAGCCGGGATGGTAAATAGGAAGGTGAGACTAGCGTTTCCGTTTGCGAGCCTGAGACATTTTATTTGGCTTTTCAAATTGCGAGAGCAAGACTTTAAAGTCTTCGATGTTTAATGAACTTTGAGGATGTACAAATTACAAATTAGATTAAACTTTAAAATTACAAAATTACAACTTGCACTATATTCGCGTATAGCGTAGGCTAATCGAGGCGGGCATCGTAATAAACTAGTCATAGTTCTCACTACTAAAGCTACCCCCGTTATTTTTTTTTTGTGCTGACTGTATGTAATAAATAATACATTGAGTCACAAAAAAGAATAAAATTAAATTAATGGACACGTAAGCAAGTAGAATGAGTCGAACTAGTGATAAGCAGGACAAATGATCAAAAAAGAATTGTGAAAAGGGGAAGTTATAATAAATAAAGTCATAAGATACAATAAATATCAAGACTAGGGAATGGGCGTAAACATAAGTCATCCTCAATCCCAAGCACTGTGAGGAACAATTTATGAATTTGTCTTTCAAACAGCCTTTTCGTAAGTTTACCGTAATCAGATTGCAAGTAATTTCATAATCCTATGCTAGAACTAGAAAAAGACTTTCAATTTACGTTCAATCTCGCTGCGTTAACATATTGATTCCTTGCAGCAGAGAATCGAGTATTACATAGACGAATGTTAGATGAGCGAGACCCACGGTTTTTGAAGGACAATTTGCCACCACTCACGGGGCATTAAAGCCACTGAAACCCCCAAGATTCACGGTACCTCTTCCAAATAAGCGGGTAGCCGACCAGTTCTAGAGCTATCCAGTACATGTATCGCAGAATTAATGCTAATGTCTCCGAATGAAAGAGCAAGTTTTTGGGGAATGATTATATATTTGAGAAAAATGCGTTGTTCTTATCATGAGACCTGTTTCAAGATGATAAAGGCTAGAAAATAAGAAAAAAATAAAGCAGGAAAACAAGCTTCGCACCTTTCCTTGGAATTTTTGATGCGTCAAAATGGAGAAGAACGCAATATCAATTACTTTCTAGATCTGCAGTTAAGTACCAAGGCAAGACACTTCACGAGAAGCTCTTATAATTCATACGCTTCCGTGTGGTGACAGTCTTTTGTGATATGTGTGATATGCACATTAAAAGCATACCTACCCGCTAATATAGTTACATTGACCACAAGACTATTAGTTCACTATCGGGCGCGTTTATTTTATCATCATCTCTAAGGTTACATCGTAGAAGCAGGTGAGAAGTGATTCATTTCCTTCTACCGATCTGTTTAACAGTCTTTGCTTATAATATTTCTATTTGAATGAGCAAATCGGTTTTATAGATTCAATTGTAACAAAGATAACACATGGCATAAAGAGATTGTATTTGAGTCAGATATTAAACTTATTCGTGTTGATTCGTCATTACCATAGCCACCTGCTGTTTAGCAGAATATCCTTTTTGGAATTGTCAGTCTTTTGCAATATGTATGACATCCGTATTGTATTTCATTCCCACACGTTAACAAAGTTACACTGACTACCAAAAACATTGACTGTTCGGAGCGCTGATATTTTCTAATCTCCCTAAGGTTAAAGCACATGTTAAAATAGGTGAGATGGCATTCCATTCCCTCGTGCCGAACAGTTTTTCTCTTACATACTTTTACTTGAGTAAGGAACAATGTTTTGTACGCAAAAATGCCTGTTGACTCGTCAGTTTCTAGATGTACCCTCTTGTTATTGAGTATGCTTGTTTGGATTCCTGTTACGTCAACTAAAACTGCATGGTTAACTTAAATTTGCGATTTTATGTTCTAAACGTTGGGAGGGAACGCGTGACAAGCCCTAAGAGCGTCTGCGTGGCAGGCTAATTCAGGATTTCCATCATCAATCTCGTTCCCAGAGCCCACGTCTTTTGGTCAGCGCCAAGACACCGAGCTCTGGAATAATCAATTTCCAGACTCCAAGATTTTAGGAGTTTCGGTTTCACGGGGCATGCGTGCCTTGTTTAAAACATGGCAATCTCGTTCCCAGAGCCCACGTGTCTTTTGGTCAGGCGCTGAGGTTAATCGCGTAGGCTAATCGAGGCAGGCATTGTAATAAACTAGTTATAGTTCTCACTTAAGCAGCCCCCGTTTTCTTTTGTGCTGACTGTATGTAATAACTAATACATTGAGTCATAAAAAAGAATAAAATTAAAATAATGAACATGTAAGCAAGTACAATGAGTCGCACTAGTGATAAGCGGGACAAATGATGAAAAAGAATTGTGAAAAGGGGAAGTTATAATAACACAGTCATAAGATAAAATTAACAACAAGATTAGGAATGGGCATAAACATACTCATCCTCAATCCCAAGCACTGTAAGGATCGCAATTTATTAATTTGTCTTTCAAACAGCCTTTCCATAAGTTTACCCTAATCAGACCGTAAGCAGTTCCATAATCCTATGCCAGAACTATAAAAAGACTTTCAATTTTCGTTCAATCTCGCTGCGTTAACATATTGATTCCTTGTAGCAGAGAATCGAGTATTGTATAGACGAACGTTAGATGAGCGAGCCCCAAGGTTTTGTGAAGCACCGTTTACCACTCCTCATCGCGGGATTAAAGCCAGTGAAGCCCCCAAGACTCA